GACCCCTTACCCTGCCCCCCTGACCCGTGCTGGGATAGACACTATTTTCACACTATGTCGGGCTACTCCGCAGGATTGAAATATTATTTCGTCACTATCCTATCCCGTACTATCACGGCAAACGCCCCGCCAGCAGATCTCCCAAAGACCAAATCCATCCTGGCCAAAAAGCACTGTGCCTGTTTAGGGTTTAGGGTTTAGGTTTAGGGTAGAGTTTAGGGTCTTTCTTTACAAAAGAAAAGACAAGGCAAAGGTTGTTTATTCATCAATTGGATGTATTTTGAAGGATCACTACCATGATTGCGAGTATTGCTCATTTGCATTAATTTCCTCTGGCATGTGCATGATGTGGCAGCCTTTCTTCTCAAGCTTCCTCTTTGATTGCTTTTTGTACCATGGTTGTGCTTTCTAAGGACTGCTCTGCTATTTCCTTTCACTGTGGGGTTTGATGCACACTACTAGTGCTTGACTGCAGGAACTCTGTTATGGGAAGTTTGGGCCTCAAAGAACAAGGGTACTTGAACACATGCATGGGAACTTGCATATCCACAGATGAGAATGGGTCAGGCCCTCAGCTACCACCATATATTTTCCATGGGGTGTAAGCTTCATTGTTTGCAGGAGACACCTCAGCTCAAACGGAATTTCTCCTTGTACTATGTGTGGAGGAAGGCTGTTTTGCTGGATGGCCATTTGCTTGTGGAGAATAATATGATTGATTTGCCAGACCAGTGGCTCCATCTTGAAGGAGAAGACAGTTCTGGCCTCAATTGCTTATATTTCGAGTTTAAGGCTAATGACCTCTGATCCTGAGGTCTCATTCACAATCAAAAAGAGAACAGGGGCCAGCAGGGAGCAATGGCTCCACTGCCTGGCTCAAAAAGAGCTGCTGTCTTGTGAGAGTGGCAGCCTCTCTGAAAGCTGGTGAGTTTAGACCTAGGATTTTGAAAACAAGTGGGGAGACCACAACACTGGCTGGCAAGGATGGAGAATTCTGGATATCGGGAAGCTCCAACTGGTTGACAAAGACCAATGACTTCATTGATATCCCAAAATGCAAAAGATAGTATTTCATAATGTTGACCCTCCCCTGAAGATGATTATATCGTTGAATTAGGAAACAGCCAGTGATGCCCCAGCCTGCTTGATGAAGCCTTTCCAAGTCAACAAAAACAGCAGGGTTTAGTGTTTAGGGTTTAGGGTTTAAGGTTTAGGTTTAGGGTTTAGGGTTTAGGGTAGAGTTTAGGGTCTTTCTTTACAAAAGAAAAGACAAGGCAAAGGTTGTTTATTCATCAACTGGATGTATTTTGACGGACCACTACCATGATTGCGAGTATTACTCATTTGCATTAATTTCCTCTGGCATGTGCATGATGTGGGAGCCTTTCTTCTCAAGCTTCCTCTTTGATTACTTTTTGTAACATGGTTGTGCTTTCCAAGGACTGCCCTGCTATTTCCTTTCACTGTGGGGTTTGATGCACACTACTAGTGCTTGACTGCAGGAACTCTGTTATGGGAAGTTTGGGCCTCAAAGAACAAGGGTACTTGAACACATGCATGGGAACTTGCCTGGCAGCAGGTCTTTGGATGCTATGAAATTCTTAGAGCTCAGGCAACATATCCACAGATGGGAATGGGTCAGGCCCTCAGCTACCACCATATATTTTCCATGGGGTGTAAGCTTCATTGCCCACATTTGCAGGAGACACCTCAGCTCAAACGGAATTTCTCCTTGTACTATGTGTGGAGGAAGGCTGTTTTGCTGGATGGCCATTTGCTTGTGGAGAATAATATGATTGATTTGCCAGACCAGTGGCTCCATCTTTAAGGAGAAAACAGTTCTGGCCTCAATTGCTTATATTTCGAGTTTAAGGCTAATGACTTCTGATCCTGAGGTCTCATTCACAATCGAAAAAAAGACCAGGGGCCAGAAGGGAGCAATGGCTCCACTGCCTGGCTCAAAAGGAGCTGCTGTCTTGTGAGAGTGGCAGCCTCTTGAAAGCTGGTGAGTTTAGACCTAGGATTTAAAAAAACAAGTGGTGTGCTTTCCACATGTGGTGCTGGCTGGCCTTGCTTTGCAAACTGACGTCCGCTGACTGGGAAGGGATCCTCTGTGCATCTGCTGATCGGGCCTTGGTTCGGTCCAAGGATGCCTGTGAGTGGAAATAGGCACGGGCGCTGCAGGCAGCTACAGAAACTGCTTTGTGTGCTGGGATTTTGGGTGCGTGTGCAGCTCCCCCCCAAAATGGCGGTTGCGTGGTGGTGGAGGGGTGTGTGTTGGGGACTGGGGCTTTCAGAAAAAACAGCTGAAGGCGTTCGTCACTCCGCTTGCCAACAAAGGTGAAGTTCGCCGTCCAAAGCATCATAGTTCGATTTAGGCCCACATGTTGAGAGCAGCTCTGAGCCAATGCGATAGAAGCAAGGTTTACAGGTTTTGCAGGGTCCATAGGGTCTGTAAGGGTTACAAGCTCTTTCGGGTTTCGAACGGTTTGCTGTAGGGTTTCCAGACCGAAAGAAAAGTTTATGTCCAAAAGCTACGGCAGCTACGGCCTTCTCACTCTGTGGCAAAATGGTTTGAACGAGGTTTTCGGGTAGGTGGTAGTGTATATATATATATACATATATCTATATATATATATATATCTAAATATATATATATATCTATATATGTATATATATCTGTATATGTATATATATATATATCTATATATATATATATCTATATATATATATCTATATATATATATATAGGTGTGTGTATATATACACACATACGTATATATATATATGTATGTATGTATGTATGTATGTATGCATGTATATATATATACACATGTTAGTTATATTATATGCAAGGGTTTCAATGGGATGGCATTACTTGCTCAAGGTTCCAAACCCCGGGAAGATCAAAACCTAGCCTTAATCACAATCTTATAGAACGCTTCTGGAACCCCCTTAAACCCTAAACCATAAACCCCCTGTTAGCCAGCTTATACCGCCCGTAAAGCATTCGCGGGACCTCTGATGCAGGCCCCAAACCCTAAACCCCAAATCCTAAACCTTAAACCCTAAACCCCAAACCCTAAACCCCAGGACCTCGGCGGGATTGATGGGGTCATGGGGTTCAACCTCAGGTTTGGAACAGGCGGGCTAGGGGTTGAGCGGGTTTCGGGGTTTCGGGAGTTTTGGGGTTTTGGGTTTCGGGGTTTCGGGTCTGAGGTTTCGGGGTTTAGGGTTCAGGTTTTGGGGTTTCGGGATTTTAGGGTCTCTAGGGTTTCGGGGGTTTGGTAGCGGGTTTTCTAGCCCCCAGCCTTGGATAATTCAAGGAAACTGCAGGTGGGGAGTTTAGGGTATATAAGGCTCCTATGAGGCTTCTATAAGGTATATAAACCTTCTATAAGGCTCCTATAACGGTAACTACCCACCTGAAAATGTCCTAGCGATAATGCTCGTTCCTTGAAGGGTCTCAGGCGTCGATGGGCAAGGCAGCGCCCAAGAGTTCCTACACACCGAAGCCTCGATTCTTGCAGCCCGAACCCTGAGCCCCCTGAGTGTAAACCCTCAGCCAACTCCCCTTATCTTGAACCTCAAGCTCTACTCTCTGACAACCCGTGCAATCGCTAAACCCGGAGCCCCTTAAACCTCGAATCCATGTACCCTGCGCCAACCCCATCCAAGCCCCACGCTGTCGCCAGGGCTGGCCAAGGATTTGGACCATTTGCTGCATGTGGATGAATCCTTGGCGAAGCGTATCCCCTCATGAAAAAAAAGCCCGTTTAATAGGGGTTCTGCAAGGTCGAGGGCTTTCTCGTCTTTGTGGTTTGGGAGTCGAGGGATAAAATGGGTTCGTCTGGTTTGTGGGGTGCGGGGGTTTCGAGGTTAGGGTTTGTGGTTTAGGATTGGGATCCAAAGTAGCCCGAACCCTACACCCAAACACAATCCCGAAGCCCGAACACGTAATCGGACCTCAGATCAATCTCTCCAGCTTCTGGCTGGCTTTGAAGACTTTTGCAAGCAGGAAGCCACCCAAAGGGCGACTGTCTGCAAGGACCCTGAACCCGAAAACACTTTCTAGGGACCAGCCCACCCCAAACCCCAAAGTGCATGTGTGCATGCTTGTGTGTGCGTAAAGTAGCTTTTCAACCCAAACCCCCCTCCCACCACGAAAAAGGCACACATTCTAGAACGCCCTGATCTGAAAGCTTATCCAGAAAGCCTTGTCAACACCCTATCAAGACCTTATTCTAGCCCTTGAGGGCCCCCCAAACCCTAAACAACAAACCCCCAAAAAACCCTAAACCCCTGAAGAGCTAAACTTTGTAAACTCGTAGACCCCGAAACCTTTAAGACCATTGAAAGCGAATCAGAAGTTGAAGTTGCTTCAGTGGTCTAACCTTTGTCAATGCGCAAGCTTGCGGCAGAACCTGCACCTGCTTGCGGGTACCTGGTGCGATGTTTGGGCGCATTTTCTTGGACAAGACATGATCTATGGATTTTTGTTTGTCGTGGGCAAGTTGCACATAGCATAGTTTCCTCTGTGCATCTTGCTGTTGCTATGCAGCCGGTCATTTATGTTGCACAATGGAGACAGCAGCACATTCAAGATGGCTGAGCAATCCCGTGTTCTAGCCGCAAAGACCTTCTGCCAGCTACTTGGGGACGTGGAGTTCCAGGCTTGCACATGAAAAAACGGTCCCCTTTGTCCTGAGCTTTGAGATGAGTTGTTTAGATTCGACACGTAATTTTGACTGCAATTCGGGTGTGGCTGCCAAAGCTTGCGGAATATCGGCATCTTTGTTTCGTGGCGCCTGGGTTCGGGGGTTCTGGGAGGGCATTTGAGGGCTGCCCATCCCGGAAGTCGAAATTCCGGTGTAGTTGTGCTGGAATGAAATTTCACGGAGAGCACCGATGTCTTGAGGGCCATCCAGAAACTGCCTTCCTTTTCCAAGTGGCCGCTTCTTAAGAGGCCCGAGCTTTCGTTCTGTTGCAGCCGCCGGGCTATGCTCAAAGACTGGCGCGGTTGCCTGCTCAGTCTCTGGCTTTGGCTGGATGCTCCATGCTTGCATGGAAAGCTTTCCAGGGAAACGCTGGAAATGGGCCTTACCACCGTCGACTGGCCAGCAGTTTTTGCAGGAAAATTTCAGAGTTTGGGAGCTTCCGCTGGAGTTCGCAAACGGAGGCAGCACACTGCAGACCCGTGACCTCAACACCAAAAGACTCAAAAAGACTGGCCGACTGACCCCCGAAGTGACCTGCAATTGCAACAGATGCAACATAAGCAAGACTGCCAGCAGGAGCAAGAATATCAGCAATATCCACGGCGAAGACGAACACGTTCATCGTCACCGTCACCTCCAACAGCAACCTTTCAGCACCATCCACCAACAACAACTGCAAGAGCCGTGATACATACATAAGAGAATGCATTGCTAGCAGACGTGGCAGCAAGCGGGTGACCAAAAGTATAAGCGGCAACACAGAGCATTGAGAGGTCTGCCTATCAGCATGGAGAACACTAGCTAGCTGTACTGGACTTATTTTCTTAGTGAGAAGCAAAACAGCAGTGACACTGCCATACGTAGCATAGGTTGATAGCAGTATGTTCGGCAACAGCGGAAGCAAAAACAAAACAGAGGAGGACCAGCAAACACTGGGTGGCAATAATATCATAACCGTCGCATGGTTAAGAATGCGGCAAGGGTGCAACGGTGGCAACAGGATGAGCCCTGAGCTGCAAGGTGAAATTCAAGGAGGACATCATTAACCTCTTCACCTCGAAGAAGTATGCAACCAGAGCTGCATTGGACATAGGTGCTGGGACGGGCTTTACAACTGCTGCATTGGCTGTCAACTTTGCAGTTGTTGTGGCCATCGAGAAGTATTGGGACCTGGCAAATGAATTTGATTGCTATCACTTGGAGTCGAACAGGCTGCTCAGAAAGGACGGAAGTGAAATCACCAACATTGTGCGGCTTCACATGGACACTCTGCTTCCGTTTGCCTTCGCAAACCTGGTTGATCAGAATTTCTCAGCAGTGGTCATCGATGCCCAGCACGATTTCGAAAGCATAGCACGTGAGACTTTCCATGTCTTGCGCGACATCCCGTGCTGTGTGGAAACCATCGTGTATCACGATTATTGTTTCGAAGACGTGTTCCAGACAATTCTGTGGTTCGAGCTCTCCGGGCTGCTCACTTTTCAGAAGTTGCTAGGTGGCTATTTGGGAGTTTCTGAAAACAAAGGGTACCTTATTCTGGGGTCCTTATAATAAGGATCCTACTATTAAGGGTACTATATTAGGGCCCCCATGGGCCCCCTATTTTCGGAAACCCCCATTTTGGTGGCTGTTTCAACCACAACCCAGGTCCCTCCACCCTCAGCCCCAAAGCCTCAACCACCCTCACCCTAAACCCTAAACCCTAATCCCTAATCCCTAAACCCGAAACCCTAGACCCTAAACCCTCAAATCAGGTTCATGGGCGAGCCCTCGAACGCCCCAAACTGCAAAAGCGTCGGCGAGAATCTCGAGAGAGCTGAAGGGGTGGCCATGAAGGTGAATCGAAGGCCTCTGAAGGACCGTCGAGTTTTATCATTGCTCCTGTCACTACTGTCTTTTTTTGTTCCGGGCTGCTTTGTACCGTTTGGTTTTAATTGTTATTCAGATTCCTATTCCTATGTTGGTTTTGGTCGTGCTGCTACAGTTTGCTACTGATACTACTCTGTTCATTGCTGTTGGTCCTGTCCTTGGTTGGCATTAATGGTTGAGTTGGTTGTCGCTGTAGCACTGTAGCCGCTTTCGTCAATAGCCCCAAAGTATGTTTTGCATTGTCGTTCTTATGGTATCGGTGCAGCGGCAACCTTAAATCCTAAACGCTGAAGGATGCTAGAGTCAGTTTTGGACCGTCGTGGGCTGTTGTGGACCTTGTGCCTAAGATCCTCAGCAATAGACCCGAACCCCTTAGCCAAAACACGGCTTCGGAATTCAATTTTTCGAGGTCCTAGACCTGCAACTTGCCTCAAAACTTCAGGACCTCCTAAAGCGTGTGAAACCCGGCCCAACAAAACACTAAACCCTAAACACTAAACCCAAAACCCTAAACCCTCAACCCTAGGCTTTTGCAGGCGTAGTTGCTGAGGGTGGCACAAGGGCTCC